AGTTGGAGACACATCCAGCACCAATACACTTTAAATAACCCAGATAGGAGCAAACCAACCTATCCACCAAACTGTCGATGTAACGGTGTTAAATCATTTCTCCGCCTACACACAATAGCCACACATTCGTACTTCTTCAATCGGTCCAGTCCGCCTTACTGCCAACATTGCCCGTGGGCTTCACTAACAGTACATCACCTGCTCGACCAATGCCACCATTTCACAGGAAGCAGGAGGACTATCTTCGATAACCAAACACCTACAACACTTTTGAAAACTACGTCTCTCGAGAACGTTACAAAAATATCGAAATATCTGGATAAATACGGTCTAAAACATTTAATATGACATCCTACCTAGCTTAGATAAGAGCTTTGTTTGTTTTACTTAAGCATGTATATAGATTTTATGAAGATTTTAAATATATAAAGCGTGGACTATAGAACTTAATTTTAGTCACCTAGACTTAGATTCACCAGCGAGCCGAAGGTCCTTTTTTTCGTGTAAATAAAATAATTGTATTATTTTTTTTTCACTTTCATAAATAAATAAATAAATAAAAAGGTAAGTGTCTTCCAATGGTATGGTTGCGACATGTTTAGTTTTTCCAGAAAAAAAAAAAAAACAATAATCAAATTCTATGCATATTTGAATATATGTTAATCTTACTGATGCCTACTTATAACTGTCTCATTTTCAGAATAGGCCACATAACGATCTTGGTTTCTGGAACAAAAACTTGGACATCCTTCTATGACTTGGTGAAGCTCTACCGTTAATAATTGAATAAAGTTCATCTTTACATCTATCATTCCATTTTCAGTGGAGAAGCATATTTAAAATTACTGCAAATCGCTGAAAACTGTGGTAACGGTCTGGCCTAATGCAAACCATAGATGCATTTAAAAAGAAATGAAACAGTTCCGAGTTTTCGAAAAAATAAAGTTATAAGCTTTCTGATTATTTTATTCTTCAAAAGTGTACAGTGTTAAATAACGATAATATTAAGCTTAAAATAAGTAACATCAAATTAATAAAACTACAATAATTCAGCTTAGCCAACACTTTTGAATTCATGCTTCACATCCTGTCCAACGCCCATTTGGTTCATGAAGGTATATAGAGAAAATGAGAATTTGGCGATCTTGAAAGAAAACGCAACTGAAATGATTTCTCTCGTATAAATTTGTGAGAATGCTTTGTCCACCCTCTTACCACGACTTACCGACAAATTAGTGCCCAAATTTATTTTAAAAAACTTAATAGCTACAAAAGAGATTTCCTTCTGAGCGCGATGCATAAAATAGATCAACAGACGGCGCGAACGTTTATCCATATCCCACCAATTGCAATGGAAGATCGCATCGGGCAACCTTGCGCAGTCCAACTCRAGCATCGATGCCTGATAGCAAGCGAGTGAGGTTTGCGTCAGCACACAAAGATAATAGACAATCGTAATTACSCGATTACTCGCGTCGGCAAATAAAAAAAGATTTAGCATGCAAACACAGAGTAYGGTSGCGGCTATTGTGAACTGTATAAAGAGTGTGATGGARATCACGGAGCCGACAGCCCTAGAAATTCTGTTGGTAGATGGAAAAATTACAAGTTTATGCATGATTAATGCTTAGCGCATGAAGGTAATTCTTACTGCAATAACTCCTGATGCGAGCGTACGCAATCAACTAATTCGTGATAATTATCCTCGTCGGTGAGCTCCGGATCCTCGCCCAACCTGCTGACGCGGTCCGTAAGCAAAGTAATATGTGTACGTATGGCTTTGATGTAAACAGCAGGATATAGATCGTTCATGCATTGAGTGATCAGTAAAAAGTATAAATAAACCACCTCGATGAGGAAATGAAGCCAAAAGTGTATGGTCGGATGTGGAATCCAGTCAATAAAAGGCAACCATATGTTCAGGGTTTGAGTGCGCGTAAATGCTGATGATAGCCAAGCAACAGTGCCATAAGTGAAATATGAAACGACAAGAGTTATGAACATATGTGTCGATTGGGTAACGTTGTTCCTTATTGCGAAACGTGCCTGTGGATTCTGATAGCGCGCATCCAAACTTTTGTATATCGGTTCGACACTACGTAGACGATCTAAGTAAAAGGCCGTAACGAACGCCTTCAGCGGTAGACCCAGCGAATTGAGTGACGCTTGCAGAGTAGTAAATATAACGGCCATTGATGACGTTTGCTTCGTTAGTTGAATGAAGCCAATAATGAAAACCACAGGGCTCATGAACAGACAAAACCAGCAGAACGCCATTTGCAATAACCGAAAGAATCCATAGGGTTTCAATGGTTTTACGCCAATTAGTGCCCAGCACCAAAGTATTAACGGAAACGAGTCATTTGTCTCGAATTCTTCACTTCCACGTCCATAATAGAGGTCGAAGAATGAACGCATATTCCGCGAAAGCTTTTTTCTACAATCACCACATAAGAAGAATATATAATCGGTTTTCATATACATACATATGTACATATTCTGAAATAAATACGAGAAAGAAAGCCTAGAACAATAGCACGCTACAGCAGGGGCGTATGCAAAAAGGACTGGATATCATTTCATAAACGCTCTGTGCAATTGCAGAAAGTTTGTTCAGTTCAAAAGTAAATATAATTTAATGAATAATTGACGTAGCGCATTTGATTAAAGAATAAAAAAAGTACACATTGGCAGCACTAACTATTTATGTCTTTCTCATCTCTCTTGTAGCATAAAAAATCTGAATAGGATTATATTGTTAATCTGTTCTCGGTAAAACCATTGAGCTTGGCTACCTGCCTTCGACCTCTACCTAACCTTGAATTTATTTATCTTAGCTCAGATTGTGATGAAGGCCATCTTAAATTCCATTTCTCAAACAATAGGGTCTACATAGTCGGTATAGACTTTTATTAGAGCGATATTTTCTGTTGCTGTCATGTGTAGAAGTTCACGCAAGTGAGGAAATTTCTCTGATTGCCATTCATTTGGTAGTGGCCAGTAATGATTCTTTTGCATATGGCTCAAGTAGTTCGGGACTTCCGGTCCTAAATAGACCAAGTGTCCTCTGGGTAGCCAAAGAAAATCCGTTTGAAGGCGAGCTAAATTTAGAAGGCGAAACATCTCCACAGGGTTGTGTGGTGGGTTTAGAGCCTGCCTCGTACAAAATGCCCCCCATGAAAAAGCACAAATAGCCTCGGATAAGAGATCCCCATTTCAATGACGTCCAATGATAACAATTTAAGGCACGAATGTACGGTTCCTTAGTTGGAAGGTTTCCGCTGCCCAGCTGGTTGATATCAAAAACGTTCTTGGCGACTTTAACGCCAGGGTAGGCAATTCAGATTACTTTGACACAACAATTCAACTTTGATACACAAATTCAGCCTCCACGAGGAAACATCTCCAAATGGGTTTAGGCTGATCGACTTCGCCGGGGTCCGAAATATGATTATCTGTAGTACTAAATTCGAGCATAGAATAATTCATCAAGCCACCTGGCGGTCTCCGGATCGAAAAATCAGCAACCAGATCGATCATGTTGTGATAGACGGAAGACATGGTTGCAGTGCTTTAGTCGGGCGTACGCTCCGATACACACCTGCTTCTGTGCAGCAAAAAACGCTCGCCAACAAACACAAAGAAAGTTCAACGTCGAGAAGCTGCAATCACAACAGATAGCCGAACGATTTTTTACTCTACTTACACTCCTGCTCTCTGAGAGTACTTATCAACAACTCGGTATAAGGGAATTGTGGGACGCAATTTCAAGCTTTCTTTGCACATACAGATGCAGCCGAAACCATTGGTTTTCGGAAAATGCAAAAGAACAGCTGGTACAACCAGGAGTACCACGTTGCAACGGAGAGAAAACAGACTACATACCTCCCAACGTTACGATCGACCACAACACGCGCCTATCCTGCATAGATACCGAGAGTTTAAGAGGGAAGCGAGACACATTTGCAGACACAATAAAATAGGCCGAAATGCGTGAGTATGAAGAGCTTGACAAGCTTGCCGACAGCAATGTCAAACTCGAAATCCAACGCAGAATAACTCTTGCCAACAGGTGCTCCTTCGGACTGGGTAGGCAATTGAGAAATAAAGTCCTCTCGGCGAGCAAAAACCAAACTCTTGGTAATGAGCCAATGTTGCGCGCTTTCGGGTGGAGAAGGACCTGGCTTCGCTTGGAATTTCAATTGGCGCCACGTTGCGAAAAGAAGAAACGACTGGCGTGCTATTTTTAACTTAGCTTTAACCGTGTAAGAAGTGTCTACGTCAGTAAAGAAGAAGTAACCCTTACGAGCTAATATTAAGATTCAATAAGACGATCTAAACTCTATTAGTTTTAAAAATTTGGCTTCATTTAAATTATGACGAATATCGACAACAAAGATATTTCTCCCCGCCTTCTTCTAAACAATTTCAGCAATTTATAATTCGAAGGGTATTATTTGGAACATGGACCAGTTAAAATATACTAAGTAGTATGTCTTTTAATATTCGATACGACAGCTCACAATTTCATCGTAAAGTCTAGAAAAAAAATTAAAAATAATACGATAGCGGTACTTCGAAACACGTCTGTGACATAATGTCTGGTGAGGAATCGTGAATTTACGCGTATGAACCCGAGAGTAAACAAAAGCTGTTCGTGCATGCAAGCACTTCCAAGCAAATAGAAATCATGAAAACCAGCCGCCGACGCAACGCACTTTTTCCTGCACCGATCGATTTTCAATTTTCGCTCGTAAAAATTAGAATAATAATTCGATTTATTAAGCCACTCTAAAATGAAAGGTTTTCCCCAAAAACGATTTTTTGGCAAGCCGCTATTTGGTCGAGAATCAAAAAATGTTTAAGTCCTACGATCACAACTGCATTCTTCTATAGTAATATTTTTGTTTCTGTTTTTTGGATTTGAGATTATGTCAAGCAGAAAACTCTTCCTCGCGGCTAGAACTTCTTTCGGAGGTCCTCCATTAGGTCGCAGGTCCTTCAGGTCGAGGGTTCGGCAATGTATATTTTTTATACTTATATATTCAATTAAATGCCCTTGCAAGTGAACCTAACCTCTTAATGGATGTAATCGTATTAATATAGCTGGTTCTTTTACGATGAGAGTTCAGAATCTTTTCAAACTCCTTTTTTGTATACAAAATAGCACTTGTAATAAATTTCACTACGAAATTACTTGAGTAAACGTCTGAACAGCTTGACTCTAACAACCTTCTGACATTTCGTTTTCATTTCTTAAGCTTTTATAAATGATTGGGCGGATTTAATAGACCAAATGAATGCCAAGGAATATTACTATAACAGGACTATGTATAATTACAATTTTATATGTGTATGTAACACCTTGATTTAATTGCGAAATTTAATTAAATATTTGCCGAACTGGCAGAAGAGAGGTGCTAAAGTTTTCAAGTGGCATACGCTTTAATTAAAATTATTTATTTACTATGTCAATATGTAATGTCAAGTCATTTCAAATAATATTATTTGATAAAGTATTCTCCGCGAAAAAAGGTCTGTCCGACGCTCTTGAATTTTCAGCGAACATTTTCACCTACATACTACAGAACCCCTCTTGGTCGAACTTTCCAGCAATAAAAGTATACATTTTCTATTTCATCATTCATTATTTTTTTCATCGATTTTAAAACTACTGACCTGAACTGAGGATGTGGTTATTTCCTCTCTTCAACTTGAAAAATGTGCTATATTAAAAAGTTAATAAATGTTGCGGGTAAATTAATTTTCTTAATAATCTGACAACACGTGGGCAATTAATTTAATAAATCGCAAATATATGTACATACATATACTATATAAGTAACTGGCAAAATGCGCACAACGAATGAGTAACGGTAAACAAGCATCCCAGCAAGAAAGGGGAGAAGCTTCCTCCTTAATAGCAATACATTCTATCGAATATCGCGGTAAATGTGAATCGAAGCTGACAAAAACATAGTTTTTTTCCATTATCGATATGTGGTGTACTCCAAGGTTCTTCCGATCGAACAAACTGTCAACAAGGAATACTATTTGAGGACGGAATTTTGGGCCGATAGCTCTTGGCTTTTGCACCACGATAATGCAACGTCGCATAGTGCATTGATTCTTCGTGAACAACAAACTCAACGACCGTTCCGGGAAACAGTTTTGAGCCAATTAAAGGCATTAAACGAGAATCACTACGCGCATTGAAGGCTATTTCGAAAGTTCGAGTAAATCCTAATTGTATACTCTTGCAAGTATGAAAGCCCGGAAAGTCCTTCAGGTACTGGAAGACTTACCTTGGTATTACAAAATGTTGCAAAAGAAGTAAACAACTATTACGACGAAATCGTAAACAAAACTCAATCAAACTTGATATTTTCTTAACCTGGAGGCACAATTAATATGTCACAGACAAATAATATAATATGTTCCCAGAGTCTTATCAAGGTACCTCACATACCATAAAATCACCAATAATTTGAGTAAAGTCACTCGGAAGTTCGAAAAACTTTTAATTAAGTACATGGGGGCCAAGGGAAGTAGTAAACCAATTCAACCAATTTTTAATACAAAATTCAATTTTTATTCAATTATGATCATCCTGATCATTTATATATACCCAGGTTGCTTTTTAATAATCAGAATTAAAGAACAAAAACAAATATTACTCATCGAAAATCACTTTATTGTTTCTATAAATATTCTCCACTACGATCATTACACTTTCAAATACGTTTGAACCAGTTCTCGAAAAACTATTGATCTAGATATCTCTAAAACATGCCTTGGAACGCATTAACCGCCTCTTCATATTCCACAAAACGTTGGCCTCTTAGTTTATTTTACCGGTACGGAAAAATAGTCATTCGGTGAAAAATCATAACTTGGCAGTGGATTTCTCATCAAATCGATATTTTAAGTTTTCAGAAATGCTGCTGTTTCAGTCGATGTGTGAGAGCTCGCATAGTCATGGTTGGGTGGTTGGTTTTCCTGATTTCGTGAAAGACAACTGGTAACAAATGGTTGTATACCACTCGGAATTTACTGTTTTACGTTGTTCTAGGGGTACGATTGCGGCATGTTAAGTTTTTCGACAAAAAAATCAACAATCAAATGTTCATACATTCTTGAATATATGTCAATCCTACTAATGACTATAAATGTCTCATCCCCACAATAGGCCACATGACGATCTTGTAAAATCGCGCACAACAGCAATAGTTTCTGGGTCACGAACTTTTTTTGGACGACTTTCACGGAGTGATTTACGACCTCGTTTGAATTCACCATACTAGCGATAAACACTGGTTCTTGATAAAGCTCTATCGATAATAATTAAATTAAGTTCAACTATGCCCTGTTTCTGAATTAATCCACTGCGAAAGTTTAATAAATTAGCAAAACTTTTC